AAAGGTTAAGTAAATCTTTCTTGAATTCATGAAATTCACAGAAGCCAAAAAAAGTTTCCTGAGTGACAATTAATGAATGTTTCTGTGCATTCGGGTTAAAGAAGAATTGAAAATTACTTTTTTTTTTTTTTTTATCCTCACTCGAGGACACTTTTCCTATTTTTTTGTTCAGATAGAGTGGGAGGGAGAGAGAGAGAGAAACATCGACGTGAAACGGACACTTGGAGTGGCTGCCACCCGCACGACCCAACCAGGGCCAGGGACAAACTGCAACCGAGGTACATGTCCTTACTGGGAACCGAACCAGGGTCTCTCTGGACCGCAGGCCGATGCTCCAACCACTGAGCCAAACCAGCCAGGTCTGAAAATTACTTTAAATAAATGGTGCCCTTGCACTTCAATTGACTTCTTCTATAGCACGGCTTAGCTTTATTTTGTCCTTAAATATGTGGAAGAATTCAACATTTAAAGTCATTTAAGCTTGGAATTTTCTTTGTGGGAAGGATTTTTACAACAAATTCAATTTCTTGAATAGATTTACGATTCTTCAGACTTCCTATTTCTACTTTTGCAAGTTTCACTAATTCGCATCTTTTGAAAAGAGTTTTCCAGTTCCTCTAAGTTATCAATTTTATTGGAATAATGTCGTTCATACTATCCTTTTAATATCTGTGGAATCTTAGTGATTAATTCTCTTTCATTCCTGATGTTATTAATTTTTGTTTTATATATTTTTCTTGATGAGCCTAACTAGAATTTTATTGATCTCTTAAAAGGTTCACATTAAAAAAAATCAATTATCTATATTAATTATTAATATTCTGTTTCATTAATTTTCACCCTTATCTTTATTATTTTTTTTCCTTCCCCTTACTTTGGGTTCAGTTTGCTCTCCTATGTATAGGTTTTTAGGACAAGAAACATTAGTTGTTGATTTTAAACTTTTTCCTATAATATATACATTTAAAATCATAATTCTCTTTCCACAAATGGCTTAAGCTACACCACACAATGCTCAGCATCCCCCCCCCCCCCCATTTTTATTTAGTTCAAAAATATTTTCTAATTTCCATTGTGGTTTCTTTTTTAACAATTGGGTTACTTAGGAATGTGGAGTTCAATTCTAAATATTTGGAGTTTTGCTGTGATCTGTTCTTATTTCTAATTTAATTCTACAGCAGTCAGAGAATATACTCTGCATGTTTTAAGTTCTCAATTTATTGCAACTTGTTTATGTCCCGGCATATTGTTGAGTCTTCCATGTACACTTGAAAAAAATCTGGTCCGGCCGGTGTGGCTCAGTGGTTGAGCGTCGACCCATACACCGAGAGGTCACGGGTTCGATTCTCGGTCCAGGCGCATGCCCAGGTTGTGGGCCCGATCCCCAGTGGGAGGTATGCGGGGGTGGGGGGGGCCAATCGCTCTCTCATCGATGTTTCTATCTCTCTCTTCCTCTCTTTCTAAAATCAACTAAAAAATAAATAAAAATCTGTATTCTATTGTTGGGTGAGGTGCTGCATAAATGTCACTTTGTTCCTGTCGGTTGATGGTGCTATTCAGTCTTCTATGCTCATAATAAATTTGTCTACTTGCTTTATCAATTACTGAAAGAGGAGTGTTGAACCTCCAATCTTAAGTGTGGATTTTGCTGTGTCTCCTCTCAGTTCTGTCAGCATTCGCCTTAGGTGTTTGCAGTTCTATTCTTAGAGGGTGTTAATTATGTTCTGTATACCACACTTAGAATTGTCATGTGTTTTTTATTACTTGATACTTAAATTGCTATGAAATATTCCTTAGGACCTTTGTTAATATTTCAAATTCTGAAGTTCTCTGTGTCAGAAATTTATAGCTAGTTTAGATTTCTTATGATTAGTTCTTGCATACTACATCTCTCTCCAGCCTTTAAAAAAGTCTGTTTTGAAAGTTTAATTCATTTAGACTGCATATAATTGGGTTTTAATTTTATCTTTATCCAGTGTAACTTTTTCTGTCTCTTTATTTATTTATTTTTATTTTTAAAATCCTCACCTGAGGATATTTTTTCATTTATCTTCAGAGTGTGAGGGACAGAGAGAGAGAAACATCAACGTGAGAGGGACACATCAACTGGTTGCCTCCCGCAAGACCCCGACCGGGGCCAGGGACTGAACTGCGACCGTGGTACGTGCTCTTCACCAGAATCGAACCTGCAACTCACTGGTCCGTGGGCCTATGCTCTAACTGCTGAGCCAAACTGTCCAGGGCTCTGTCTCTTTTTTTAATATATAATTTTTACTGTTGACAGTATTACAGGTGTCCCCTATCACCCCCACCCCTTGACACCATCCACCCAGCCCCTGCCCCACCCAGACCTTCACCACACTATTGTCTGTGCCCATGGCTCTGCATATATGTATGTAAATTCTTTGGTTAATCTCTTCTCATCCCCCCCAACCCCCTCCCCTCGGAGATCTGTCACTCTGTGCCACGCATCCATGCCTCTGGATCTATTTTGTTTGTCCGTTTACTTTATTCATTAGATTCTACATATAAATGAGATCATGTGATACTTGTATTTGTCTGACTGATTTATTTTGCTTAGCATACTTGAATGTTTTTACTGATTTTTTTAGAGAGAGAGGAAGAGAAGGAGAGACAGAAATATCAATGAGAGAAAAACATTGAGTGGCTGCCTCCTGCACACCCCCCACTAGGGATCCAGCCCACAACCCTGGCACGTGCCCCAACTGGGAATTGAACCAGCGACCTCCTGGTACACGGGACAACTCTCAACCAACTGAGCCACACCGGCCAGGCAAAATGTTTTACATCTTGTTCTATGTTATGGTTGCATATTCATGCGCAAGAGTTTAATGAGCTATATACTTAACACTTGTGTACTTTGCTATATGAAAGTTATACTACAAAATGTTCAAAAGAAGGCTCTGTTTTCTTTCATTACCTACATTGTACTGCAGTTCAACACATCAACCCCCATTTGTAAATTCTAGGTTCCCTAAATTCAGGGATCTATTCAATCTCATTTCAATCCTCCCTTTATATGCTTATTCTTTTCTTTCTGGCAACATTGAACAGAATCAAAGGGTAAAACTAAATAGTTATTCAAACTTCCTCTACTTCCCAACAGAAGTGACCTTCCCTAAGGAAAAGTCCATCAGTCAAAATACTCCCCCAGCACTTCATTTATCATTGCTTCTCAAAGAAATTTTGCTGAAGATAATGAGTTTAGACATTGTTCTTTTGATTTCTTAATATAAAGCTATATTTCCCATTAAATAATATGATTAATTTATGAACTTCTAATGAGATCACCATCTCTTACCCATGTGTCTCATTATTGGAATATCAAGGCTATTTGCAATGCCTGAAAATTTTATAGCAATTGCCTCTCCTAATAAGCAACAGCTTGGTGCTGTCCTGGTAACTAATTGGGTACCCAGTGCCATCTAGTGCTCTGTTACATCCTCCAGACCAGTGTCATCCAATAGAATTACAATTCAAGCCACATATATCATTCTTTTTTTTTAATTTATCTTTTTTTTTTTTCATTTATTGATTTTAGAGAGAGAGGAAGGGAGAGGGAGAGAGAGAAAGAAACATCGATGAGAGAGAACATCGATTGGCCGCCTCCTGCATGTCCCCCACTGGGGATCAGGCCCACAACCTGGGCATGTACCCTGACTGGGAATCGAACAAATGACCTCTTGGTGCATGGGTCGATACTCAACCAGTGGGCCCCCCTGCTGGGCCACATATATAATTCTAAACTTTCTAGTAGATACCTTAGAAAATAAACAGATAAATTCCTTTTAATGATACATTTTATTTAACATAATATATCCAAAATATTGTCATTTCAACATGTAATCAAGTAATAAAGTATGAATGAGATATTTTACATTATTTTTCATATTATTCAAAGATTCAATGTGTATATTACACTTACTTCACACATAGTATGTCTCAAATTGGATGACCACATTATTATTATTTTTTTTTCCAGAGAGGGAGGAAGGGAGAGAGAGATAGAAACATTGATGTGAGAAACATGGATCAGCTGCCTCCCATACAACCCGCACTGGGGATCAAGCCCGCAACCCAAGTATGTGCCCTGACCGGGAATCGAACCAGGACCCTTCAGGTGGTAGGACGACGCTCAGTCCACTGAGCCACACCAGCCAGGCTGGATGACCACAATTCAAGTGCTCAATACCATACATGACAGTGACTACCACATGAGATAGTGCAGCTCCCAATTATCTTGGACCACAACCAAGATAACCCTTGAAATGAGACTCCAAACTGTCTCGGCCTTAAAATAATACGGCACCTCCACCAAGCATCTTTATACCCCATAAAATTACATGTCTCTGCCCTGGAAGTCCTAATTCACTAACCTGTGCCCCAGTGCTCCACCCCTCTCTGTGAAACCCAACAAACTTCCCACTCACACATACAAAATTCATCAAACACTGATCTTATTATTTTGCCGAGACCAACTCAACAAAATTTTACACCTCATGCTCTCTTGCAAACTGTGATATGTTCAAATTATTTTGTGACAGTAGCATGAAATTACTGCTAATACATTTGTGATTTTGATGTGCTAGGTCAACTAACATGTGAAATGAAATCTTCCAGGAAAGAGATGAGGCAAGAAAACATGGCACAAAGGAAAAGAGCTGCATTGGGATTTGAGCTGGGATTTCGGTCCCACCTCTGCCTCCAGGTTGTTTTATATTCTCGAACAACATACAAATATTTCCGACTCTCCAAAGTGTGATGTACTATACAAAAAACTAGATTAAATGATTCTGAAGCCCTATTCAAAATAGGATCCTCTATAATTGCAGAAAGTATTTTCATAAAAGAAAGGAGGAAAAGTTGGGGGATGAAAGAAAAGCATGAAACTTGAATTCCTTATTAAAAAAAATAATAATAATACTAACACTCTAATTTTAAAAATCCTCATCCTTTTCTCAATTTCTAATTTTTTTTCTTCAAATGAAAGTTATTCTTCCCAAGGTTTTCTTCATGACAAATTTGACATCCTTATTCCTCAGGCTATAGATTAATGGGTTCAGCATGGGCACCACAATGGTATAGAATAGAGAAGACACTTTCCCCTGGTCAAGGGGTAGAATAGAAGGTGGTTTGAGATACATGAAAGCTCCTGACCCAAAGAAAAGAGAAACCGCAATGATGTGGGAACTGCACGTGCTGAAGGCTTTTGACCTGCCTTCAATGGAGCTGATGTGGAAGATGCTGGAGAGAATGAAACCGTAAGAAATAAAAATGGCAACGATGGGCACCCCGATGCCAATGGTCACAACAACGAAGACCACCAGCAGATTTATGTAAGAGCTGGTGCAGGACAGCTCAAGGAGGGGAAGGATGTCACACATATAATGATTGACAAGGTTATCGGCACAAAAGGTCAGAAACACTATGTTTCCTGTATGAGCTAAAGCCCCCAAAACCCCCATCGCATAGACACCCAGCAAGAGAAACAAACACGTCTGAGGAGACATGGTGACCGTGTACAGCAGTGGTTTACAGATGGCGACATAGCGGTCATATGCCATGGCCGACAGGATGAAGGACTCAGAAAAGACAAAGAAACAGAAGAAAAAGAGCTGAGTCATACACCCTGCATAGGAAATGGTGTTCTTCTTCGAGACAAAACTCATCAGCATTTTGGGGATGATGGTAGTGGAGAAACTGAGATCGATGAAGGACAAGTTGAAGAGGAAAAAGTACATGGGGATGTGCAGGTGAGAGTTCAGGCCGATCAGTGTGATCAAGCCCAGGTTCCCCACCACGGTGACCACGTAGAAACCCAGGAACAGAAAGAAGAGGGGCATCCGGAGAGCCGGCTGGTCCGTCAAGCCTGCGAGGATGAACTCCGTCACAGAGGAGGTGTTACCTGCGGCCATGCTCCTCCGGGAGGGGCTGTCGTCACACAGGAGATGTCACCTGCGGCCATGCTCCTCCGGGAGGGGCTGTGAGGGGAGAAGAACTGCTCAGAGAAAGAAAGGAAACCCCTTCTGCACAATGGCGTTGGAACAGAGAGGTTCTGAACTTCCAGAAGATGGCATTTCTGAGGCCTCTCTGGTACTTCCTTGCCTCTACCGCCCTTGATCAGGTTTTGTAAGACCCGGGCCCTTCTCTCGGTGTTGTTGACAGGCTGACCCTGCCCAGACCTTCCTCCTTTGCTCAGAGCCACCGGAACAGGAAGACCAGGTGGCGTTGCCCAGAGCCTTTAGCTGGGATGGCCGTGGGGTTATTATGGGAAAATAATGCTGGAGTAGTAAGGTCACGTTACTAATGAAACCTAAGGCAAAAGGAAACAACAGGAACAGTCACCAAGCACTAACTATGCTAATGGCACTGTTCTAAAGGCTCTGGGCGCTTTGATTAAACCCATTTAACAGATGAGCACACTGGCCATAAGGGACTTGCGCAAGTCCCCGTCCTTCTAAGGGCAGCAGCAGGTGGGCGCAGGCAGTGTGGCTCCCCGGCTCGAGCTTCTGACCCCTGTGCCACAGGACAGACAGGCGGGCACTCACCCTCCCTCCGCCCAGTCACAGTGCTGCGCTCCGCGGGCTCCCGCCCATCTCTCCTGGAGGCTCAGGTGGCCCTGGTGCAAAGAGGATGACAAGTCCGAGCTCTGACCCTCTGCTTCTGCTTCTCCCCTTTACAAGTCACCACCTCTAGGTTGCTCTGGCTCTCCTGCGGAGCTGAAGAACACGGTCCCCGACTGGTTTTGTCCTGAGCCTCCTGTCCAGCTTCCCGGGCTGACAGCTCCTTTATAATGCCCATGGATAACTGGGACTGAAGAGTCTTATTCTGGGTTCGGGGCCCCAGTGACCTGGATACAGAGGCTCCCTCAGGATCACTGCTCCCTAAGGAAGAAGAAGTGTTTGTTTATGCCCTGATAATGCTTGATGGGGCTTTTAATGGCCTCTCCTTTCAGTCAGGTTACATATTTTAAGTACAATTAAGAGCAAAGCACTGTGGGAAAGTAATTCTCGTACTTGTATTGAGCACTTACTGTGTACCACACACTGTACCTGACCCAGCACCCTGAGCTGAGGGACCCAAAGCAACGCATAAGTAGTTTGACCATGTTTAGTCCTCACAGCAACCTTGTAGGTCAGACGCACTAATCTCCACTTTGAAAGTGAGGAGCACACATAGGTGACAGGCTGCAGAACTTTGAGTCAATCTCTGGTCTATCCAACCCCAAACTTCACAGGGGCCAGGGACCTTGCGGGCTTCCCAAGCAGAGACAGGTACTTAACGTCTGTCACTGACTGCACCCGACTGAGTGCAGACAACGGCTCTGGCTACTGTGAATGGCACACACTGTCAGACTGTCTTTGAGGGCATTTATTTGTATAGAGACTAATGAAGTTAATGTGGCAACTTGCAGTCTACACCCCTTACCAGGGGCTTTTACATACAGGATGAAAGATTTTATCGCCAGTGGTTTAGGTAGGATTTTGTCATGTGGTAATGGCCGAAGTCCTGCTGGGGAAGTTAGGAAAGCAAATCTCAAAGGCAAAATCCATCGTCTTCCAGGCAAGTCCAACTAACACCAACTAACTAACAGACCTGTGAGTGTTTCTGAGGATGTGCTCAGACAGCAGTGAGGACGGGCTCACCCCAGCTAAGACTCGGCCATGGTGGTGCCTCATCTGCCCGTTCACTCTTTACACTGAGAACTGTCCACCGGCCAGAGTAACTCTAATGGATCCCAATCCCTGTTGTCAATCCCACTGAACGAGGAGAAAAATAATTCATTAATATAAATTTAAAATAAGCTCCACCCGAGATCCACATGCAAAGGTACGCTGGGGGTTCTCTGAAAGCTCCAGGAGGATTCTGTGACCGCAGAGACGGTTTCCATGGCAACCTCATCTCCACAGCATCGGAAGCGCGGCTTCTTTAAAGCCGCGGCACCGGATGACTTGCCCCAGTACAAGCGGAGAACATAAAGAGCTATTTTGTCTTTCCATTTGTGCAGGGCTTTCACCTTTCCACAACTTGAAACTGGAAAAATGACTTCCTTCTTTCTTTTCCTTTTTTTATCCTCACCTGAGGACATTTTTCCATTTTTTTGTTCAGATCGAGTGGGAGGGAGAGAGAGAGAGAGAAACATTGATGTGAAAGCAACACATCGAGTGGCTGCCACCCGCATGACCCAACCAGGGCCGGGGACAAACTGTAACCGAGGTACATGCCCTTAGCGGGAACCGAACCCGGGTCTCTTGGGACGACAGGCTGATGCTCTAACCACTGAGCAAAACTGGCCAGGTTTATTTCTAACTTAAACTATATATTATACATGCCACATTGCGGGGCATGTGAAAATGTACATATTATAAAAGTCTGCATATATGTCTCATATATGTGCATTGGGTCTCTGCCTTCTGGTAGATCATCGAAGCAGCATGAGTATGGTACCAAACCGATCCCTACATGTCTAGTATTTCCGGCTCCGAGACGACCTGGCGAGAGAGATGGGACAGCAGCAGAGTGGCCTTCCTGTGACACAGCTGCAATGAGCTCAGGGAAGAGCTTGCTTACTCCCAGGTCTTGGATTACCTTCTGCTGATGACTTCGAAACCTGTGTTTCAAGCCACACCTGAACACCCAACGGACAACAGAAATTCCACACAGTATAAATTATATCACTACCTTTTTTTAAAATCCTCACCCAAGGATATTTGGCCATTGATTTTCAGATAGAGTGGGAGGGAGGGAGAGAAAGAGAGAGAAACATCAATGTGAGAGAGACACAGTGACTGGTTGCCTCCCTCATGACCCTGACCAGGGCCAGGGATCGAAGTGCAACCAAAGCACAAGCCCCTGACCAGAATCGACCCCACTACTCTTTGGATCTTGGGCCATCGCTGTAACCGCTGAGCCAAACCGGCTCGAGTGTCTCAGTACCTTTCTTTAAAAACTTTCTCTTCCTATGTTCCCTGCCTTACTAAATGACACAATTTCCCACTGCTTAACCACCTTCATCAGTAATAAAGCAAACTATTCTAACTAAAGGAGTCAGGCCATTTCCCTGAAAATCAGTTCATGAAAGCTAATTCACCGACAGGTCAGTTCACGAATTGTTTATAGATACGTATTTATTGCCATTTTATTATTCCTATTTTTTATCTTTTTTTCTTCTTCTTTTTTAAAGAAGACCCTTTCACATTTCTTGTAATATGGGTTTGGTGGTGATGAACTCCTTTCGGGTTTTCTTGTCTGGGAAGCTCTTTATCTGTCTTCTGATTCTAAATGGTAGCTTTGCTGGGTAGAATAATCTTGGTTGTGTTACTGGAGGAAATAGGTTCTTCCATGGTGTCACAGGAGTGAATTTCAGGGACACTCATGTAGGAGGATTTTAAGCACTAGTGGTAAGATTTATTAGAGCAACCCTGGCCAGTTTAGAGCGGTTAGAGCATTAGCCCCTGGACCAGAGAGGCCCGACCGAGTTCGGTTCCCGCTACGGGCACATACCTCAGTTGCAGTCTGTCCCCGGCCCCAGTTGGGGTCATGTGGGTGGCAGCCACTCAGTGTGTCTCTCTTGCATTGATGTTTCTCTCTCTCTTCCTTCCTCTGCTCCTCACGCTCTATCTCAAGATAAATGCAAAAGTGTCCTTGGGTGAGGATTAAAATATATATATATTTGAGCAAAAATAAAGGAAGGGCTTAGGAGAGAAGGTCGCAGCAATGGGAGTGTGCCTAGACTGGGCTGCCTACCCTCAGGAAAGGACGTTATAAGGGCAAAAGGGAGAGTCCTTAAAGCCCACTGCTTCCATGGGGACCCTTAGAATTTAGGAAAAAAGAAAGCAAAAGTGCGGCCTGAGAGAAGGAAGGGTGCACAGGGCACAGATGCCCCCGAAAAGGCTGCCACAGTCCACGAGACACCTTTGGGCACTCAGCTCGGGGACTGCGTTCGCGCCCCCAGGCTCACCATTCCCAGGGCCTCACCCACCACCAGGTGGTTCAGCTCAGTCTCGCTGAGGAAGTCCAGCTGCCAGGGCCGAAGTACGGACCCCGCGCCCACCAAGACCAGGAGGGCCGGGGCCCCGCCTTGCCGTGCCATCACCCCAGCACCCAGGGCTCCAGTAGTCTAGCTCAGTCTCCGCTCCGGCTGGGCTCTGGCCCGCACAGCTGCCAAAGAGACACTGGGGCCTATATTTCCTTGGGCTTGGGAGGGAGTAGGCTTTCTTTCAAACTAGCCAATAAAAGACCTAAAATAAACATTTAAAAACACTCAAATGATCCATGAGATGGTAGGAAAGGAGGAACATATATGTATTAACATTTGCAATATCAGTCAAATGTTATTCACATTAACAGAATAAAAGAGTGCTCCATATAATCATCTCCATAGATGCAGAGAGACTACTTGATTAAAGTGAACAATACCTAATCATGATTTTATTTATTTATTTATTTTTTTACCCTCACCCAAGGACATTTTTCCTTTTTTTGTTCAGATAGAGTGGGAAGGAGAAAGAGGAAGAGAGAGAGAGAGAGAAACATAGACATGAAAGGGACACATCAAGTGGCTGTCACCTGCACGACCCAACCAGGGCGGGGGACAAACTGCAACCGAGGCACGTGCCTTAGCAGGAACCAAACTTGGGTCTCTCTGACCCGCAGGCCGATGCTCTAACCGCTGAGCCAAACCAGCCAGGGCTCATGATTTTTTTTTAAATTGTTAGTAAAGTAGGAATAGAAAAGAACACCCTAAATGTAACAAAGGATGTCTATGAAAAACGTATACCTAACATCATGAAATACTGATTACTTTTATCTTGAGGTTAATAACAAGTTAAGAATGTCCACTTCAGAAGTTCTAGCCAATACTGTATGGGAGCCTGGTCAGTGTGGCTCAGTGGTTGAGTGTTGACCCATACACCAAGAGGTC